AAGCAGCTTCACGATTATTCAATGGCCCTTTCCTCATGGTTCATCGAAAACGGATACAAAAAGGTATGGCAAATAAAATTTATTCATTGTATTGCATGCTATACGGCAGACAATGGTGACCTACTGTAAGCGCCGAGTTTCTCCCTAACAGGGAAGGTTTCGAGTGAGTGGGAGACGGTACATTTGTAGGATCTAATACACAGTCCATACTGGTCGTGTGGGTGTTGTCAACCAATGACCATCCCTTCGTGATGCACTGGTGCACTCCTCCTCTTTTCAATCTGGTAAGGAATAGCCCCAAAGTGGTCTTAGCCCGTTAGGCGTAGTTGCATAGCTAGTTCCGCCCACACGATCAACGAGAAATGTGCTTCGAGGAGGAAAAACTAAGCAATTTAGGGTGATGTTATTCTGCTGTACCTGACAAATTGCTGGCAGTTTGCTGCGTGTTGTCTTGGAGCATGGTCAGCCGGTATAATCGTGTCACCTGCCAGCAGCTCGTTTACTTCGTGTACGTTTGATATTTTTTGATAGTGCAGTGGCAAGATGCGTCGCCTATTACGCTCACAGTCGGGAGATTGAATCTCGTCCAGGCCAGTAGAGTCTTTCAATCCTTGAGGTGATAAGTTGGTGCCACGCTTGTCTGAAAGAATAAAAATCAATGACGAGCATGTCGTTCGGCCCTCGCAAGCCAGATATACGGGGTCAAGCAAGGCGTTGGGGAAAATTTTTTGCTATATATACCTCTACCCCCCCCCCCCCTCAGCTCGAATCCTTTCATCTCCATGCGATAGTTGGCACCAGGCTAGCTGCATCGCTCGGAATATTCTTTCCGATGTCGTCCCCCTTGCCTTTGCGATATGTCCTCCATTGCAGAAAGCCCAAAGAAACCTCGTGAGGCAAGAACTGTTCCACATGTATACAGCGCACCTGACCTTTCCATCACGGCTAATACGACTCCCGTTGAGGTTCCCTCGTCTGGATAGTCCAGGATAATTCAGTATTTACGCATTTTTGAAGTGAAGGTAACTGCATGGAGAACGGACAAGTCACTACCTGAAAACTTGTTTCTTTTGACCGCGGAGATTGAGCGCAGCGCTCTTGCCTTTCCTACTCGATAAACCTGACACCAGGCAGTAACTGTGCAGTCGGTATTTCCATCGTGCACTGAATTTCAGATGAACTTCGTTATCAGCTAGAAGATTCGGAAGCAAAGATGGTCATGACGGAAGAAGCACTTTTATCACGGGCGAAAGCTGCTTGTAAGGATCATCATGAAGTGGTAAATTTGCAACCATTCCTATCGATTTTGATAGAAACTTGACGGTTATCCAGAGAATCGCCTGTATTTCGACGGGCGATAAGGATGTACTTGATCTTATGAAGATATTCACCACCTCGAACGCCAATCCCGTGGCACCAGTGAAGATTGACATGGAACGGGTAGGTTCTATTGATTAGTTGTTGTTCTTGTTGTTTACTTTTATTGTCAAGATTTTTATCTGGAACGGACCTCACCATGCGTCGGCTATTCAAAAACGACCCTCTTTCACAGTGAATTGAGTAACATAAATAGTTTTGAAATGATCCCCGCTCTGACCCAGAGAAAAATCCTAGAGAAAAAACGGCCGAGTGGTTCGCTGTGGATACTCATGTGGCCGTGGGATGTGTTTGGCGCGGCGCCAGCACTTTCTCATTCTGTGTCGTCGCTTCCGAGCTCCTCTGGTACGCCCCAGCATCCCAACGGTATAATCGTGTCACCTGCCAGCCTGGCTGTATGACCTTTTGTCTGTACTATGGAAAGTCCCTCCTCCCACCGAGACAGAAACTAGATCTTACTAAAGCAATATCGAAACAAACATCAGCATCAGATTAACTGGGGGAAATCGCCCCACTAAGAATTCACACGACGACGGGATTCTAACAAGAGGAGTCCCCCGCCAGGGCACATCGTTGTTGGGGATTCCCCAACAGGGGCGGTGGGTCTTATTGCGTTTTGACCTTCTGAGGAAGGTTGCTGAGTTTTTCTCGCATCATGTGAATACATATACCCCCTCCGCGCTCGAAACAAAATTTTTGTAAAAGTAGGAAAATTTCGGGAAATTTCTGAAAAAAGAGGTAGGGAATGGGGTAAAACTAGAAAATGGGAAAGGGGGTCGCATTTTCCTTGCGCTTTTTCCCGTTTCACATATACTATTTACCCCTTCCCCCACCCACCCACCCCCGCCGGCTCGACAGCTCGATGAGGAGGAAAGGGTGCGGTACGGCCCCACCAAAATCCCCAGCTAATTATAATTGTGTTCCCTGGCCCCCGCGACGGCAGGGCGCAACGCTGGGGAGAAGAGAATCAATCCTGCTCAGGGAAATCAAGCAATTCAT